AAAGGCCAGGAGGAGGGGGGGGGCGCCGGGGGAGCAGACGCCAGCCATGCAGCGGCTGCCAGACCACGACTGCAGCAGCAGTGAGTCCTGCCCTGCGGCAGCGGGCCGGGGGCTGCCGAGGGGGGTCTGGGGGGGCTGCCCAGTCCCCCTGCCCAGGGCCAGGCTTGGAGCGGTTGCTGTGTGTGATCCAGGTGACAGTGACGACGGAGAAACAACACAGGATGAAGTTTCTTCCCATACGTCTGAGGAGGACGGCTCAGTGAGGAAAGTGAAAAAGGAATTAGAGCGTGCAGACCAACCCGTGGCTGGCAGCCCACCGGTGAGAGAGAACAAGGCAAGTGCCCTGGCGCTGTGACCTCACGCCTGCCCGCGAGAGAGAACGGCACTATCTGAACTCCCTCCTGTCCCCACCAAAACTGCTTGTTCTTCCTCTCACCACCTCCAAAGTGTCTCTCCTGACAGAGAAAATGGTCTTGGGAGCTCTTGGGCTGCCAGGAACAGGAGAGAGCAGAGGCAAGCTGCCACTCTCATGGCTGGCTGCAAAAAGGATCCTGCAGAAGGTGCCCAGTGCCTTTTGTTCGAGTTCCTTTGGCCTACCTCCCCTCCCCTTTTACTACAGAGCAGGTCCTACCAGCCAGAACTGTTGGGCTGCAAGAGCCAAGGTGCAAGTGGAGGCTGTGAAGCCTCTTTTCCCTCTCTGCGACTGCAGGAGTTTTGCTCTGAGGTTGCATGAAGGACATTTTGGACCATCTTCCTCACTACCAGGACATGAAACCCCTCCGAGGGACTGGGTGTAGCACGCAGTCCATTCAAGGCTGGGACACAGTGCTGATAGCTGCTGAGGAGGGTGGGGTGGCCGCACCAGGACCTGTGTCTTACACCAAGATGCTCTTCCCTCCCTGTAGGCACCTGAGAGTTTGCGTGCTGACCCCATGCTGGGGCTGTCACAGTGTCCCCTCTGCCAGCTGGAGTGCGGAAGCAGAGAGCAGCTCATTGCTCACGTCTACCAGGTAGGGACGGTTCCACACCTCACGCCCTGGCCTCCTCAGTGCCTGCCCCAGATCCAGACACAATCTGCGACAGGGGGCATGGGGTGACTTTGCAATCACTGAGCTTCCAGCTGGGAGGGGAAGGTTACAGCAGATAGCCAAGGGAGTCCTGGAGAAAGAAGCAACAGGGCATTGTGTGTCCATGTGGGGAACACAGCTCTGTCCCAAGGCACTCCCTGCCATCAGCTCCTGGCTGAGACAGGCAGTTCCTTCGGATTAAAAGTGGAAGCAATTCCGAGTCATTCAGTGAGATAAGGAGCCCTCCTCATCACTCAGTTCTTTGTTCTGCCACTTTATCACGGTTCCTTCCCATGACAGTAGCTGCTCTTTCTCTGAAATGATTCTGGCGTTGTTGGAAATCCGGGCTGGGATCTCACAGGTTTTGTTGTCAGGACTCTTCATAACACATCGAAGTCTGCAAAAGGAGGAATGAAGCAATACTGAATTGGCCACTTGTCTGCACCAGCTCACTATCTTCAGCTCCTATTGCAGTGAGCACTTCCTCACCAGCATCCTGCCTGCTGTTAGTTCGGTCATGCTTTGCCCAGCAAAAGCAGCTCCTCAGATGCACTGCTGAAAAGAACGGCCAGTTCTGATCTAACTGTTCTGGCCCTGTTTCTCTAATTCTGGGAGGTTTCCTCCTTGCTGTTTAATCTATGACACCCCAAATTTCTTAAGCTTGGTCATGGAGCTCTGAGGCAGAAGTTTTAGTGGTTAAATGGTCCTGTTCTAAGAGACAGAACTAAGTGGTTTAACATGCCTATTGAGCATGCCTCCAGCAGGGCAGGGACCTGGATCATTTATCACTAACAACCCAATGGTTGTTTTGCAGCACACTGCAGCTGTGGTGAGCGCCAAGAGCTACATGTGTCCAGTATGCGGCAGAGCCCTCAGCTCACCGGGATCTCTTGGTCGACATCTCCTGATCCACTCAGAGGACCAGCTGTCCAACTGTGCAGTATGCGGAGCACGCTTCACCAGCCACGCCACGTTCAACAGGTCAGGGTCACCCCGGCTGGTGAGTGGGCTAGGGCACCCGTGATACAGATTAGGTGGGTTGTCTTGAGAGATGAAGGAATAATGTCTCTGGCCCCACTAAGGCCTGGAGAGCTGTGAATACCCCTTGTGAGAAACAGTCCCTCGATCCCTTGCTGCCTGGAGCGCCAAATCACTGCTAAAGGCTAGGCCTCCATAAGCCATCCTGCTAAAATGTTCCTCCCTGTTCCTTATGTTCCTGCACAGAACCAGAACTGTACAAAGAGCACTGGGGTCTCTGGCTGCTGGAGAACAGCCGCTGCTTCCCTTGCCAGCAGTCATCACATCAGGTCTGTGCTGGCCAGTGTTTTAGTGTGCCCTGCGGGTTCCTTATTTCCAGGGCAGGATGAGAGGCAGAAACCAAAACGTTTGTGGTCTGTGTCCTGGCTGGTGGAAGTTTAGCCACTGACTAGTGCAACAGGGCAGAAAAGAAAAGTACAGAGATGTTGGGGAGGAGAGCTTGCTCCGCCTTTGCTCTCTTCCACCCCAGCAACTGCTCTAGGCCAACTATTCCCATTCCTTCCTCTGCATAAGATGCTGCTTTGGTTTAGCATAGGCCTCTCTCCTGGCCAGCAGCAAGGGCACAGCTCCTTGCAGCCCGCAGGAAGAGTGTGACTGGGGACTCTGTCAGCACCAGGTCTCTGACTTGCTGCTCTTTCTGCTTCCCAGCGAGAAGCTGCCGGAGGTGCTCAGCGCAGAACACCTGCCCTTGCCGCAGAGCGAGGGACCCTCTGGGGTCAAGGGCAAGGACATGGCTTTTCATGCCCCCGTGTATCCCGCGGGCATTCTCCTCGTGTGCAACAACTGTGCAGCTTACCGAAAGCTGCTGGAGGCGCAGGCACCCGGCGTGCGCAAGTGGGCGCTTCGTCGGCAGAACGAGCCCCTGGAAGTGCGGCTGCAGCGCTTGGAGCGGGAACGCACAGCCAAGAAGAGCCGCCGGGACAACGAGACGCCGGAGGAGCGGGAAGTGAGGCGCATGCGGGACCGAGAGGCCAAGCGGCTGCAGCGAATGCAGGAGACAGACGAACAGAGGGCGAGGCGGCTGCAGCGGGACCGGGAAGCCATGCGGCTGAAACGCCCCCAGATAAGCGGCAGGCCCGGCTCATCCGGGAGCGCGAGGCCAAGCGGCTCAAGCGGCGCCTGGAGAAAATGGACATGATGCTCCGGGCACAGTTTGGCCAGGACCCCTCTGCCATGGCAGCTTTGGCAGCTGAGATGAACTTTTTCCAGCTGCCAGTGAGCAATGTTGAGCTGGAGAGCCAGCTGCTGGGCAAAATGGCCTTTGAGGAGCAGAACAGCAGCGGCCTGCACTGAGCCGCGGGTCAAGCACTGAGCCGCAGCTGCAGCGCCGGCCACGGGGGCGCTTGGCCATTCCGCAGGCTGCTGGGGACCCGACTGACTGCCCAGGCCGGCCGGCCTCACATAGGGTCTGGCTTTCTCCCGGGCACAGGAGGAGAAAGGAGCTGAGAGATGTCTGCCAAAATAGCCCCTGGGGAGCAGATTCTGTGGATGCAATCTGCCCCGGGGGCCACGCCACAGCCTGCGAGTGGAGGGAAAATAAATTAATTTTCATGTTTATTTAGTCCCCTTCCTTGCCTTTTGCTCCATCCTGTGCTTGGACCCTCATACCATGGTTGGGGTTGGGTTGCTCTAATTCTGCTGCAGGTAAGAAGTCTTCCTTACTGAAAAAGGATCTTGTTTACTGCAACATGAGTTATGGAGTGGAAGTCTTTGCTAGTCCACAACTCCTCCAGGAATAAATATCTTGCTTTTTGTGTCCATAAAGAGGAAGGAAAAAAGAATTGAATCTCCTTGGAAATGGCTGTGCACACCCTCTCTCTTAACTCTATTGTTATGTGCTTATTTGCAGTAGCATCCCTGGGAAAACTAAGAGGAAACTCAGTTCCTGTTCTAAGACACACCATGTAAAAAGTAGCAGAAAGGCTGACGGAGGTAAGCGCACAGGAAACAGACATTTGCCAGTCTCCTCACAAGTTAATTTTCACTTAATAGTATTTTGAGTTTGAAGATGAAAAGGTGACTGAATGGTAAACAATTAGGACAGACCTGTTCTCTCATACTCTATGGATTTCTTAGTAAGCTAAGCTTGATCAAGCATTTTAATTCCACCAAATGCAATGATGCTCACCTGGAACTATGGATCACTTGCAAGGAATTAATTCTCTTATTGAAGCCCTCCATGACCAACACTGACTTTCCGTGGTCTTTGTGAATAACATGGTCCTAGTGGAAGCCAACAGCAAACACAACAACAGGGGTAGAAAGAGAAATCTCAGGGGATGGAGGGGCACAAAGGGTAGTTATATTCTCCCTTTTGACTTCTTTAAGAACAAGCATCGAAAATGCATACTTTAACTCTGTTTCTGGAACTGCAGCCCACCAGACACTGAAGCGCTGCACACCTGCGTGTCGCAGCATGGAGAACCGTGCTGCATTTCCAGCACCGCCGCATTTCCCAGTACGGTCTGCAGTAGTTACATGGTGGCCTAAGTGCACTGAAAACCCCTCTCGCTCTTACCACTGTCTCTGCCTTAAGTCAAAAACAGTGACCAGAAGACATATCCCTAAGGTCAGAGAGGAAAAGTTTGTGTTGTTGTTGTTTTGTTTTTTAAAGGGTTTCAGTTGTACTACTTAAATAGGTTTAATTTTAAATCGATTTTTTCTCTTGCCAGATAGTTTGGAAAACTCATGGTGCAGCTGCTGATTGTTCCAAGCTTCACTTACTGATAAAGCCATGGTATTAAAGGGGTTCAAGAAAGAGCACATGAGATCAGAACCCATCTGCCAGGCAGCTTTACCCTGGGCATGCCATAGTTTCCAGATCACACTGCATAAGACCAGAAAACCCACATCCGAATGATCACTGGTGCCACAGATGAGCAAAAAGTCTCAAACACCAAAGGAAAAGCTATTGGTTTATATATAGATATATATATATATAGATATATACTGTGTTTACAGAGTCAACAAGTTAAATGCAATATTCATAAGAGCATTAACAATAAAAATACAATCTGTGTGTAGCCAAGTACAGACTTAAAATGGTAAAACAGGAAAGAGGATCTCACCAAAAGTACAAATATACAGTACAAATTGATTTATTTAAAACAGTTACAAAAAAAGCACAACAAAATAGAGATTATCCTTAGAATTATTAATGCTTTGTTAAAGATCAGGTAGGAAGAAAGGGTCAGGATGGGGGTCGGAGGGGAGCACCTGACTAGTTCTAAGGCTTTAGATACAATGCAGTTGGTTACATGTTAATACAGCCATTACATAACTGGGGTTATAGTGGAGGGATCAGCACTTATCTACACGGACGTCCCGCCTCGGGCAGCCCCGCTGCCGGCGCCGTCTGCTCCGCTCGGCTCCGCTCCGCG